CTAAGCCACTCTAGGTTCCTGACTCTCCCAGACTGGGGGAGATAATGATTTGCTGTTTAAAGCTGTGAATTTCAGGAGTTATTTATTACACATTAATAGAGATGCATGCCAGTTTCTGAGTCCAGGCCTTAAGAGACAAACTTCCATTTCTTACAGAGCCTCGTGGGACACACTGTGGGAACCTGGCAGCCAGCTTGTGAGGAAGCCAAGCTGTCTCTAGAAGGCCCACATGGAGAGCAGCCAACAGCTGGGCCATATGTGTGCACTGCCTTGGAAGTGCACCCCCCAGGCCCAGTCAAGCCATCCTGCTGTCTCTGCAAAGCCCTGACTATATTGTAGATTCATGGGCAAAACAAATTATTAGTGAAAGTTTAAGTCAGTTAAGTCTTGAGGTGGCAATAGAACTGAAAACAGATTTTTTTGTATCTGGATACGAGGTGCCGCTGTATATAACAAAATCCTAAATTCTGAGGCTTTGGGACCAGGTATTAGGCGGAGGTCTAACAAGCATCTGTGAAGGTTGAGAGGAAAGAAAGAAAAATATCATTAGAGGCTGGAGAAGAGGGGAACCCTACAATAGCAACATCGCTCAGCTATTAAGTGAGGTACTACAGAAAAAGGTTCCTAATGATTTCAATTAGATGTCCAAGGAGATTTCCAGGCAGAATATAGATGTGCCTACTGGTTTCTTGTCACTGCCTCTGATGAAATGCAAGAGAAGAGAGATGAATTAAAGAATAAACTGTTAAATATAAAAGGAGCTAGAACTTGCTGGGTTTAAAAATAAAACTGCCTTTTATTCCCAGTCTCTGCAGATGGCAAGTGATTCTAAAAGTAAGAAAGAGCTCCAGGCCATAGATCAAATCCGGGATAGAAAGTGAATCACAGAAATTTTCGGACAAAAGAGCTACTAAGCATCTCACTGGCATCTCTTAGGATCCTTGCCATTCAATAGGGCTTCTAAGAATTTCAAGGGCATTGTCCCTTGGTATTCTCAAGGAGAGCCCAAAATAGAAAAGGGCTTCTCTTGAAGATGTTGTTCATTGTGGTTTTTGACTAATGGAGTGAGGGTTTGCCATTCTAAAGGTACGAAAATAGGAGAAAACAGAAATAGCCTTATGAGCAATTCTGCCACCGGCATAACTCACGGGGATAGCCTATGACTGAGGAACCATTTACCAAAGAGCCTAAAAATCAGGAAACAGCAAGGTCAAGAGATTAGTTCCCACCAGTTAACTCAGGTCACCATTCAGCAGATCCGGCCTCTCACCAATATTCTCAGCTGACCAAAGAGTTACAACAGAAAACTCAAGACCTACATGCACGTTAAGAACATTCCCAGGATTCTGAAGAAAACAATTCACTTTGCAGTGAGGATATCTCTGCTGCCTGAATTATACATCTCCTCCCCTGGGCTTAATAGAGACTCGGCCACCTGTATTCCTGGGAAAGATAGATTGATTAAGAAAGGGAAAACCCTAACTCAGACACAAGATTGTGTTCAATCTTCTTTTGTCCTCTTAGTAAATGGGGCCATAACTCCAAGTAAATGGCATGTGAAGCTGTTAAGAGTCAAGCATTGCAATGTTCCACGGGGTGTAAATAACATGCGTGACAGCACCAGGGACCAAATTGCTCGTTAGCTGCCAACATTACTTGTTTAATGATCTGAGGAGCAGAAGCTGCCAATTATTGTATTCCTTCTTAATATACCATTTAAAATCCATATATGCAATTATTATACCTTTCTGTTAAATTTTTATGATTCTTCTGAAGCTAATGAACTGTGGGAGAACTCGGTGAGGCCATCCTTACATAAGTGGAGTAAAAATCCACACATCACACGCTGAGGGGATCTGGACTCTCCCCCCTCCCCGCCCTGGCTCCCCCTGCTTAGCTAATCAGGTAACTTAACCAAAGTACACAGCCCACTGCCTCAACTTCCCTTTCTGTTCGTTGGAATAACAGTCTCTCTCCCACCAACATAGCTAATGTGAAAATAAAATAAAATAACAAATACAGAGAAATGTTGGAAAGCACTATTCAAATGACAGGTAAAGTTACTGTTTTTACAGACTCTCATTTTTAAGCTACTGAT